AAGTCTACCTCAGGTTGGTTATTCACTTTTGCAGGGGGAGCAGTACCTTGGAAGCTCAAGTTACAGAAGTGTTTTGCTTTATCTACTACAGATGCAGAATATATTGCAGCTGCAGAAGCCGGTAAGAAGATAATTTGGTTGAGAAGATTTCTACAGGAGTTAGGCTTATAGCAGAATAATTATCAAATCTTCATTGATAGTCAAAGTGCTCTTGATTTGAGCAAGAATTATACATTCCACTCCAGGACGAAGCACATTGATGTGAGATATCATTAACTTAGAGAAGAAGTAGAGAAAGTAGAGCTGAAGCTACAGAAAATTCACACAAATAAAAATCCAATAGATTTAAAAAAAAAGCATTTCTAGAGAAAACACTAAATTGTGTCGGCAATTGGCCAGCATGAACTCCCATTGAGAAGTTACAGATTGGCATACCCTCTCGTTGGTGTTTGGGTGAAAAATTGATTTCGTTGAGGAATCTATTACAACTTTAAACGTTATAATAAATTCAAGAAATTAGCCTTTTTATTAGACTTTCAATCAATGATTATAACTATCTCTCAAACTATACACAATAGATGTTTATCACCTATTGCTTGTGCGGAATCATTATCGGTGCCGGGGTTTATCCGTAGACCACCTACGGATCAGATCTGATTAGCAGAAGATGGATAATCAATGCTTTTACTTCATGAAAGAAGTAATCACAGCAGCGGTAATCTTGATTAAGCGAGATCACGGCTCTTCTCAAGATTAAGACTAAGCTTAAATCCGGAGGAATAGGAAGAACAAGTCTCAGATCTCTCGAACTCTCAATTTGTTGAGGAACTCCGCCAAGATCAGCTAACCCTCTGAAATTCATTCTCCAATCTCTAATTCAACAGCACTTCGTCCTCTTAATTTCCAGATCCAGAGAAATGAGCACCCGAGTTCGTATTTATAGGCTTCGGTTAGGGGTTTTTTGGATAAAAACAAGGGATTCCTTCTTATCTTCAGTTAATAACTGATTAACCATAGTATCAGATCAGTTTGGCTGCTCAGGAACAAACAAATCCCGAGAGAATCTGTGAAAACCGAAAAAGAGTGTTTTGCTTGGTCAAAATGCGTCTTAATTAATTTGGGGAAATCTCCAACTGCATTATACTTCGGAGGACGGGTATGCTCTCATGTTACTCACATGACAACATACACCGTGCTTCGTATGTATAATGCAGTTCAAATCGTCTCACCTAAATTAACAAGCAATTTTTTTTGTTTAGAAACCCATATCGACATATTGTGTATTATATCTCCGTTTTGTTCTCCTTTGTGAGGCAATTGGGAAGAGCCGCCATGCTCCTTCGTGAGGGTGGACGCTTCACAACTGCGTTTTGCTTGGTCAAAATGCGTCTTAATCAATTTGGACGATTTCACATTGTATTGCGTTATGTAGGACGAGGTATATTGTCGCTTTGTTGAGCGATAGTGTGCCTTGTCTTGCGCGCATGTGATACCGTTGAAATCATCTCACCAATTATAGGACTATGACTTTATCTCACCGATCCGTGAGATGAGTTCAACACCTGCATAGATAAAAAGAAAATCTCATAATTACATTTGGTAAATGCATATTATTTGTTTCAGTCAAATTTCCTTCAAAGGTGATCAACGCTCATGCGGTGGAAGGTCGTTGTAGCAAGGCTTATGCTTCTGCTAAAGATCCCATGCTCATTTAGGCTATCCCCTAATTTGCCTTGGGTGGACCTGAAGAACTCCCTAAGTTGATACGTGAGGGAGATTGTCGTACTTTACGACAGCTGATCACGGACGCACCCCTGGTCGAGGATCTCAACTCCACTCACCCCCCTGAAGAAATTGGATTATTTATTTGATGACTCTGTTGAAGACCCGATTACCGTACCTCTCGAAGCCGAGCAATGTTTGTATAAAGACGACGGGGGCTCTTTATATATCCCTTCCATTCCTAAACATCGCTCGCTGATTGAATTAAGATGGCAAGCTATTAAACGGGAGATGTCATGGAATTTGACGGAGGAATGTGAATGCGTCCATTGTGTTTACATCACTCATCAATCCTCTCCTGGTTTGAGTAACAGAAATTGTGTCACCGTATTGCATCCCGGTGTATAAGGATTGAATGACCCGCCACGAGGTGAGCTGTGCACAATTGCTAACACTTTAAAGAATCGCCTTGCGAGATTAGGGTGAGAGATGTCTGCCACTAATCACAGATGTTATGGTTGGGTCCATTCTTCAGATAAACTCTGGTGGTCTTACTTAACCGGCTATGTTCTTGCTCGATGGGGGAAGAATTGAAGGCTAGCGATTTATACGCAGTTGTTCGCGCCACTATGTATGGATTGACCATTAGCATTCCCCATTTCCTTGTATTGTTAGAGCTCTATAATCCTGATACCAACACATTTCTGACGAAACATGGGGAACTGGGATTGGCTCTTCTTGAGATGAATAAAGATTTGGGCCTACCGATGAGAAACATGGTATACCAGGAGTATTTCCCTTTAAACCGGGAGTTACGTCAGTTGAAGTCAACTACCCTAAATCATTACGACACATTGTGGGATCTCACCTGCCACTACCATGTGGCCTTGGCGGGTATTGAGCCGTTGGCGAAGAAAACCAAACCGCAAGTCAGCTTGAAGAGATTTGTAAATTATTTATTCAAGAATCTAGAAAGCAATTCTGATGAAGCGATCTGCGAGTTAAGGCCACTTACTCCATCAGAGATTAATGGGCTAATCAAGAAATCCAATGCCCGGTCCTATACTACTGCTGGTATTGAGGATGATTTTCGCACCGGAACCAAGTTTCAAACTTTCTTATGGCATGCGATGCAACCTGTTCAACCGATGACTCTGTTGGCCGGTTACCTCGCTATCTGGTTGAAGAAATGCGTGGTCCCATACCAATCCATGGATGTTCTACCTATAGAAGTACTTTACCCATCTGTTCAACTTGCAAACAGGAAAAATCTTTCTCTTCTCCCGGTGATGATCGCCAACATCCACCGTGGTCTTCGCCAAATAGTTAATACCTTCACACAGGAAGGAGGTAAACCATCGGCTCAAATTCTGATGGCGAAGGTGGAGCTACCTTATGCGTATCTGATGGCGTGGTTTATTCTTCATTGCTCCGACATGATGTTCGTGCCGAGTGCTGCGGACCAGTATGTTCGCCTGCTACAGCTGATAGAAGATTGTAAATGGAAAGGATAGGGATTTATGGACATAAAGAGACGGCTGTAAGACCATAAATGCTAGGTTATCCCCACATGCTTCCCCTGATTTTCAGGCCGATATGGTGATTCATTGGTTGATGTGGAGCGGCATGGTACGGGTCGGACCTGCCTTGACACTAGGTGCTTTGATTGGCTAGTGAACATTAGGTGGGGTTATCTGATTTTCCGAGTAAAAAATCGTTGTTACATAGAACCGTATCTACCGTGTAGGTTTGCACAACAACTCGGGTACAATCAAATATATATCGGGAACCCAAATCCAGGATTTCGAACTTGCGGTGGCTTAGTGGACGATGCTCGAGCGTGGCTGTGGAGTATTACAGGTTGTACTGGTGCAAGATTTAGCCTTCAAGGTTGTTGAACGCCAATTAGAGCAGACCTTCTTATGTTACCGTTGGTTATTAGCGGCCAATGAACCTGTTCATGTGAAGCCAATTATAGAGTTGACAGTCGATGCAGCAGCTCGGTGCAGGCTATCTAAAAATTACTACATATAGCTGATCCCCATCAAACACCAATGATAAAAGTTATAATTTAACGGCTTCTAGAAGACTATAATTTAAAGACTTTTATGTAGATCGATGAAGGTTACAATCTGACGATCTTCACAATAACTGATGAAAGCTCTAATCAACAGCTTTCATAATCAACAGCGAGAGTTACAACCTGACGACTCTCACATATCAAAGAGCTAAAGCAAAGATTACAAAACGACGATCTTTG